TAATAGCGATGGCCTCCACCCTACTAGCAATGGCCTCCAACCTAATACCGATGGCCTCCAACCTGACGTATTAGCGATGGCTTCCAACCTAATAGCCATGGCCTCCAACCTGACCTATTAGCGATGGCCTCCTTTTTCCTTTCGCGAGTACTGAGCTCTAGTGAGACTCTTGGTACATTCATGCACACCAAAGCCCTTCATCCATGGTAGTCCGGCTGGACTAGCGTGGGCTCTTCTTCTACAGCTGCCTGATGCAGCTGTGTAAATTCGTTGGGCAGCCCAGCCTCAAGGCCGGATGGCCGAAGTCTGTACACAAAGCCATGAAAGGCCTCAGCCAAGGCTGCATTGAGCGCTGCCGGGTAAATTTTGGCCCTCGCGGTCCGAAACGAGCCTTTACATTTTCCGGCCAGGCCAATATGTGCACCCGGACCATGCGGACATCTACCTCTCAGGCCGCTCTGCATGACGATCTCCCGAAAGTCCTCCATTCTCACAAGCATCAACGTAGTGGGCTTAATGCCTGCAGCTCCGAAGATACATAGGTCGAATGAGACAACAGAGACAGCATCAGCTCACGCAATCATCTTCATTTCGCTCAGCCTCCAAATGGAGTGACATGGGGTCCCATACATCCATTGAGCAGTCTGCGCGTGCTCAAGAAATCCGCAGCCGCCGTAGGTCAAGGCCATCGTCAGAAGTTCCATGGCAACCTCCAGCAATCCTGAACCTACAGTGACCTGATTATGCTGCTTGCATGACAGATGCTTCAATCCCCACGGAAACTGCCGATCTCGTAGTGGCGGTGGTCCACCTCCAAGCCATCGAGCAACGGACCATGTTTCGCAGGGCGGCCCCCCTCCAACACCGATAACCTGTCGTGCCAGGATGCGATCTTTCCACCAGGGAATGCGCACTGGATCTAAGAGATCTCCCTCAGCACCTTGCAAGCAAAGATCGACACTTAGACAAAATGTCTCAACATTGTGCACCCACGTATGTGCCTCTATGCAACTCTGTAGATCGTGCTTCCTTCGGAAACCGGAAAACAGGTGGACAAAGACAACTGTACGCAGGTGGACTCTTGCGTCCCACACCGAAATTGATTCCCTCTTCATAACCCCTGCAGTGCCTTCGATCTGACCACGACCTTGTTGAAAAAGGTGTGCATTTTCAGGAGGCACAACAGGAACTGGGGCAAATGGAGCCGCAATGCGAATCCCTTCTACGTTGCACCAAGGGCTTTCACTGTGGGTACCTGTTTGGCATCCTCGAAAGATGGCCTGAGCTTCAGCACTTCCCACCGGGGGCAACGATGCAGCGGGAATTTTCATGGCCGGCAAATGAGCTTTCTTGACTTGCCAGCCAAGTGCTTTTTGTTGAGCACTGAGCTGTCTATCAGCTTCATCTAGCTCTTCTACCACCTCTCGACTCAACGGGGGAAATATCTCCTGCAACACACTCACGCACGCTTGCAAGTACCTTAAGTGTTGCATCAAACGAGGACGGACATGGTATTCTTTGCAACATGCCAGGCAGACAGACCCCCCAGCAATAAAGCGCACTTTGGGCCGGTACCCGTGCACATGTGCAGAACGCATGAAAAGCCCTCTCTTTGTGGGGAAGGTTTTATTGCACAATTGACAAGCAAATGCTGCTTCTTGCGGAGCACTAGCTTCACCATGGCAAAAAGAAAGCCCATACCCCTGAAATACGGCATGCATTTTCATGGTCCACAACCGGTGTTTGGCTAACCGATGCGAGAACCGAATAGCCGCATGCATGGCCTTCTTGACTCTGGCTTTCCAGTTGCTCTCAGCGGCCACAAATTGGCAAAGTTCGATCAAGGTGGCTTCTTGCGGCGGCCAATCGCCTTTAGGATTGTGTTCCTTCAGCCATTTGAAATCCTTGCGCAAGTGTTGCACCCAACTGTTTTCTTGAGCACATGCCTGAAGGATGTGCCAAAGGGCAGCCGGTTGCCGTCGTATTGCTCGAGCGAAGTACCGAAGTCGGTTGACCGTGATCTGTTGGACAGGTTCAAGCGTACCGCGTAAGGCTGCCAACTCATTGGTTGGGAATGCATAAGCATCATGCCCCGCAAGCATTGCTTTGACCAGCGGCTTAATCATGTCACGAAAAGCATGCTGCAACTTGCTAGTATCTTCTGGACCAAACATGACAATGGTAGAAAAGCCTTGACCCAATCAAGCTACGAAACAACTGATGCTTGTTGGACTGGGACACCGCTGAGTGTCCCCACAGGTTCCGCACCAAGGGTACCCATGCATGTTTAGCCTCTGAGTTGCGGTGCTGCACTTCACGAGCAGGCGTGGCATCGCTTTGGACGTATGACCCTAGGTGCTTGTAACTGTGGACACATCGCAAACTTTCCACAGAATGCTCTAACATGACCGGCACACTTCCCTTCTGATCAAGAAAGATTCGCTTCTTGAGAATCCTGGATCCAGCACCAGTACAAGCTAGTACAATTTCTGTCTTGTCAGGCTTGAAATTGACGCTCTTTCCTCTTTTGCATGCAGCATCACTAAGTACAGCTAAGGCCTGAGCGGCAATCTTCAAAACCTGGTTGCAATCTTTAGCCACCAGGCAGAAGGCAGCATCATCGAAGAATGCGACATCAACAAAAGCTGCTTGCATCTCATCACCTTGGCCCGCTCGCAACGGATGCTCAAGCCAATCAAGAACTCCCAAGTTGGTCAATTGACCCCTAACCTCTTTGAGTAGCAACTGCGTGAGGATATTAAAGGTGATGTCACCGATAGGGTCACCTGGACGGGTGCCTCTCGAACGCATGGTGAAATGTGCCTG